AATAATGCATCATAACTCTGAGACATACTGGTAATGATTTTTTTACCTAGTTGTGCCACATTGTGAGTAAAAGCTGAACAATCTCAAATCTGAAGTTTTACCAATATACCAATGTCATCAGCACAATTTAACAAAAGCTATGTAAATCCCCATTTCAGAGTCACAGATGCACAACCGATACAAAACTCCAAAAGGTAGAGTTATTTCAAAACTCTGAAAGTTGAAATTATATATATATAGTCCAGTTTCCTGTTCTTAAGCATAGTGTACTCTTCCTCACCTGTTTTCTAAACTTAAGAAAACTTGTTCAGTAGCTGTAGGAAATGCCAGTGTTTGAGCTCTAACTTTTACTGATTCACAGTATCAGTGAATCTGACCTGTAGTGATGTTTTTGTAATATCTGAGATATTGTTAATGAATTTCTAATGTAGGATGTCAATATGTTGACATAAGGTCACTGCGTGGTAATCATTTACATTGAGTTGAGATGTTTCTGCTTTACTATTAATCATGTCATGGCCACTACCATTATTATCACAATCATAATTATGGTTGTCAAATCTTTCTCCTCCATATGTGTGTGTGTTTGTGCTTTGTACACTGTGTGTGTGTGCATTCCAAACAGTAGGTCTTTCAAGGTGAAGGAGAGAACATGCAGAAACATGAAAAGCAGGCCAAATGGACTCTGAACCAAACACATGCAAACACAGGAGAGTTATGATTGTGGGAGTTTACATAGCAGTGCCCTGTTTAAAAATACAGCAGTGTGCATAAATAAAGAGAAAGCTCATATCACATGAGAATCGACACAGTTTGTACCATTTTCCATCCACAGAGAAAAAGGGAAGGTTTTCTAATTCCCTTCACCTTTAGCAGACTATATTAACAATTTTAGCAGGAGTAGCATTGTTCAAGTGCCTGTCTTTGGCAAACGTCCACTGGTGGATAGAGCAAAATGAAAAATTGAATTAAGCTAACCTCTAGATCCAGGGTGTCTTAGTTCGTCTCCTGAGCTGCTTCCATTATTAAGTCACCTCGATTACTCTGACAGACTCAATCAAGAGCCAATAAGAGCAGCTTACTAAACTTCTGACAGCTCCTCCACATAACACAATGCTTCTGAAGTTGATGCCACATTGTTAGCGCAACTTACTGTCACTATAACAAACACATCAGAGGAATCCTTGAGTCATCAACTAAAAGGTTAGCCAGAAAGAACATCAGGCCTAAACAGATCTGACACTGACGTTCATCTACTGTCAAAAGTAAACTTTGCCTTTCTGACCTTAAACATCGCTGAAATCCACTGCTGGATCAGACTCCAACCGAAAAACACACGCCTTGGGATTAACAGCATAGTCCTTCTATCAAGTTTAACCTCTCTGTGCATCAGTGTCTCTCCCACACATGCCAACATAATGCAGACAAAGACAGTCCTTTGCAAGTCAAAAAGTAAGTCTCTAATATGAAGTCCCAAGTCGAGTTCCAAGTTAACATCAACAAGCCCAAAGTCAAGTCCAAGTCCTCAAGTTTGTTTACAAGTCATAAGCAAGTCATTATGGAATGACACTATTAGGCAAATTTAACGCATAGCATTTTACAACAGACGTCTATGGAGGGCTTATTAATTTCACGTTTGTTTTCATGCAGTTACATTTTATGTAAAGTGAATTCCTTACTGCTAGCCCTTAGCTAACATTAGACAGAGAACACTAATGTAAGCCCCAACTTAATACTGCTTGGGCACCCTCAAATCTCAAATGAAGTTGATTAAGTTTTCAGCTACGATTTCTGCATAATGCTTAATTTTGCTGTTTGAATGTGACAGTGTGATGTATCATCTCCTGTCTATCTGCATACGTATGTACACCGCCAAAGACGCTGTTCCTTCTTGCTCGTGCTGTAGTTCTGATTCAAAGAACATCTGATTTTGTCAGGTTTAAAATACTCACTCATGACCTCAGACTGACTCCAACCTCCTAGTCTGAGTTTCTGTATTTGACTTGAGTTCACATCTCTTACACATACTTTTAATAGCCTAGAAATGGTATTTTACACAGCATGGCTCAATCATCAACAAAAAAGAAGGAATACAAAATTTATTGTGCTTTTCAAGGAGGAAAAACAAGGCCCCGGGGAAACTGTAAAACTGAAAACACAATAAATAGTAAAAAAAAAAAGCATCCATCAGTGACAACATGTTTTTGAAGCTAAGCATGGTGGGTACATACAATACAGTTCTGCTGTGCTTCTGAAGACTGAGGAATGCTTTTACTCTGCAGGCCATCACCCTGAGTCCCTAATACACACATAACAACTAGACAGAGTATCGTAGTTTGTTTAAATTGGTCTGTTGAACAGATGTGCAATGCCATCATGAACAAATGTAAGTGAAAACATTACACAAGGCATCTTTTTAAACACATCCAAACACTTTTGTGTTGACTGTAGCATTGAGGAATACAGCGGGTGCCTTTCTGTGTGTCCTAATAGAGTTTTATCTGAGCTGCTCTCAATGCAGAGACAGAACAGACACCCACACTCGTAAACAGACACACATGACAGCATTCAAAATCCTCTCCTTCATACAGAGGCACAGGAAATGATGACGAGCTGATTCCAAAGAACCCCTCTCAGTTCTCTCAGAGGAGAATCACACTCAGCGTTTGTTACATCTGACCACAGACACACACTCACACTTTTCCACATACACACACATCAACAATGGTCCTTGAATTTCTGTCTTTCTCTTTCCATAAACCTCCTCACAAATTTTTAGTAGAATTGTATATATGCCCTGTTGAGATCCTCTCTCTCTCCAGATATAGGGTATTAATTTATAATAAGTTTGCAACATAAGGACACTTTCTCCGTTACCAAACAGGAAAAGCAGCACACTCATAAATGCCATGTGTACAGTATGAATGTATGTATGTGTGTGTGTCAAGATGTGTGAACAGAGGGTAAAGTCTCGGTTAGCACCCCTGCCTATGCTCTGCTACTGCTGCACTGAAATACCCTCATCTAGGCAAACATAAAATCAATGGAAGCTATTAATTAGTCTGCTGCTGACTGCTGCTGCTGATACAGTTATACAGGCAAACAGAGAGGGAACACGTATATCCGTGGAGCTGTTTGGAGTTGGATTGGATTTTAAAGAGTAAAGGCACTGAAGAGGGACACTTGTACTCAAGTGTATTAAAAAAAAACAGACCAAAAATCAACTTGATCAAACAGGAAAGGCTCCTGCAAATTATGTCCTCACTTTCAAGGTTACACTTAGAGGAAGTGCTTGATATGGTGACTGAGCCTGATAGTATCTAGTATCTTCAAGTTCACAGACCTTTTCCTGGTTGTTATTAAAACCATAACTGGAGTGCAAAAAAAAAAAAAAAACACAATGCACTACAGATATTTCTCACAGGTGTCAAGTTAAGCACTGCAGGTGCACCAGTTAAAATTTCTGTCACTTTTCCAGCAGTGCTTCTTAGTGGCTAAATTTAGAATGAATAGAAAGAACCTTGCTTCCTGGTGCACTACTAAAGATTATTAGTCAGTGTTGCGAAGAAGCATTTTACCCAGCTTGACTCCAGTACTGAATTTGCTTATTTTTTTTAAAAGAGATTTGTAGAAGATGGTGGGGGGGGGGGGCATTTAGGTTTACTATGCATCTTATGAAAAGATACTAAAACTGTAAATAACTAAAACCCAAAAAAATGCAGGTTGAGTTGAATTGATTGAGAATTGATAAACTTAGTTCATCCTCAAAGACGTTTGTACAAAAAACACAAATACACATTAATAGCCTACTTTGGCATACACTATTTTCCAATAGTTACTTGCTCCAAATACTGAAGGTCGTGATTCTGAACTGAAAGTTGATCTACTTGAATTACTGACACAATTTTGTCAAAACTATGAGATTCTGACTGCCGACCTTGATGTGACATGATCAGCTGATGGCTTAACTGAGAAGATGTCTCACTCTTTGAACTACAATAACACTCTCAGGGTTCAACGGTGTTACAGATGCTTCTTTTATAAACAATTTTTGGCTGACTACAGACAGCTGAAGCCCGTTTCCCCACAGGTTTGCAGAGAGCATATAAACCCACCAACAGCAAGCTTTATTTTGGCCTGTCATCACTTTAAGACATGGGATAACATTAGTTAGAGACAGCTGATATAATCTGCTGTATGACATTCTAATCAGCAACAGCGACCATCACTCACTCACATTGGTGCGCTCAAATAACCTGTCACATTTGTAAAGTCAGAGACAAGAGCAGCAAGAGAGTCATCAGAGAGCTGATGTAATGCTACATTAAAATGACTATATTAAAACTGGGTGAAGCTAATGTTCATTACAACTGAAAATGTGCAAATACACCCATTCACCCACTCCTACGTAATCTGGATGACAAGTACAAATACTTTAGTACTACACCTCTGCCCCACCTGGAAAAGAAAAATTCCATCCATTCATCCATCCATTATCTATACCGCTTATTCCTGAATAGGGTCATGGGGGGGTTGGAACCAGTCCCAGCTGACACTGGATGACAGGTGGGGTCCACCGTGGACAGGTCGCCAGTCTATCACAGGGCTGACATGTAGACAAACAATCACTCACACCCACACTCACTCTTATAGGCAATTTAGAGTCACCAATCAACCTAAGCTGGACTGTGGGAGGAAGCCGAAGTACCCAGAGAGAACCCACGCAGGCACAGGAAGAAATATATATAAATTACCAATCCAGACATAAAACCAGTGGTGCTGGCACTTAATATTCTGGAATGAATTTGGGCTCAAAGTACTATAAGGTGTCAGGTGGTGTGTTGCTCTATAATATGCTTCCCATTCGGGCTCCATCCCAAAAGTGTGTATGATGTAGCGGTGGCTGTCAATCTGAATATGCGCCAAGAATTTAAAAATCAGGACTGTAAAGAGGGCTTCAGGTTCAAGGTATTGGGTTTTTAGTTTGAGTGGTGTCTCACCTTGTTCTGGTCAGTCCAATACAGGAAGTAACCTTTAGGGTCAACTGTTAAAGTCACAGGGGTCACGGTGGTGGAATCCTGTTGGAAAACAAAGAAAAAGACATTTAGAGTAAAAGTGTGTTTCTACTTTTACACAGCCCCTTTTACACAACGATAAGGAAAAACGTCTGGCATTTTGAGCCTTTTCAAGGACTTTTTAAGCCCTTTATAACTTAAAAAGCTGGTAAACTGCCACTACTGTGTTCATTTCACACAGCTGCCAGAATGCCAGTACTAGAGGTGTGATGCTTATTATGAAGTCTGACGGTCCATGTACTTCACCGTCAATTTGATAACAAAACAAACAGGCTGTTATTTGATTTGGTTTGATATATGTAAATGGAAATTGGGAATTTCAGTAGCCTACTGTGTGCATCCAGTTTCAGGTCTGCCTGTCTGTTTGAGGGCAGGAGTGCACACGCACATACAAGGCGCACAGCAGAACAGACAGAAGCCTGCATTGTAGCTGCATTCACACACAGGGTTGTGCAGAGGTGTGGCTTGTGTTTATTCGTGCTTTATAACATACCCACAGTGAAATAATCACAAAATAAAGGTTTAATTCTGATTCACCTCTGACTCCACTTCCTCTCCTCATTCACGCTCTATCTCTCACTCACACAGAGCTCCAACCGCCTCATCCCGTTTATACAGGAGGTGGGGCATTTTGGAGGGTCAGCATCAAAAACCCCACCTGCCCCTAAAAGACCTGGTAGCATATTTTCTGTGCAAACCAATTAATTCATTTCTCAGGAACAAAGTGTAGTTTTTGTAATACCACATGCATACCAGAATCTAGAATGACATCAAATGTGCTGTGTATGTTCGAATCATGCACACAATTCTTTCCTTCTAGAGTACTTTCCCCACCATGACCTGGCATCACTACAAATGACCAAGTAGCCTGATGTGTGTGAGTCTGTGTGCATTTCAGGCAACTGCAATCAAAAGCTGCTGGTTGTGTCACAGCAGTTGTTTCCTTCTTGTACCAGACAAATGCTTTTCCACAGTCCCCACATACAGAGAAATCCAAGCCTCACACAAACACATACACACAGTTTGAACCTAAGACATGCATGGCAATGCAGGTATTATTGGACAGTTCTATAAAAAAAAAAGAGCCTTTGCTTTTTATCTTTGTCCACAGTGGCTGTGGTTCAGCTGAACAGTAGCCTACTGTCCTTCTCAAACAGCCATGGCTATGGGATGAGAAAAGTGGAAACTGCATTTGCTGCACAGAGCAAGAAAATCTTCAGTGTCTTCATAAGGCTAATGATGTCCCTATCTCAGCATTGGAGGCACAGCTAAAAGTCTGCATCTGCTACACACTTGTCATATCTGGGTGTGACCCCATGCGACTTGTTGGGTAGGATATCATGAAAGGGTTGAGATTGGAGCTGGCAGACAGCGAAGGGTCTGTGTTGAGGTATAGAGAACCATTAGTGCTCTGAAATCATTCTGTACTGTCTAAATAAGACGGTCATGGTTTATGGAGCCTGGCACACCTGCGCCATGATAGACCAATACAGAAAGCCACTCCTTTATGATCCCATGGAGAAATTGAAAAAGCAGAGAGGAAAAACAAAGAAAGAGAAAAGGAACGTGAGTGAAAGGTAAATGAGCGACTGGTCTGATGCGGGAAACAGTAAGCTGACACAGACACATTTGCTATAGTGATGTTTACTATGGCAACCCACCATTCCTTTGAAATCTATTAGAAACTCAAGAGGAATCGTTTTAGTTCTGTTCACATGATCGCACAATCTTTGCAGGCTTGACTAAATGACAAAAGACGTGGTTCATACCACTGAATGCATGCTACACACACACACACACACACACACACACACACACACACACACAGGCACAACATTTATTGCCTGAGGGCAGGAAAAGAGCCTCATGCTTGCAGCTCTTAGCATCTCATGCCAATTACACCCCATATCTCTGATCTCTGCACAAGTTACAATCCACAGCCCAGTTTCTTTAATTTAGTTTTTACTGATTAATATCTCTTTCTCATCTTCTATGAATCTAGCAGTTACACAAAGAAAACCTCATAAAATGATAATGAGTTGGATCATTAATATTACAGTAAGGTGTTTATATTTCCAATAAGCCATGTCAAGAATCCACTCAGGGTGCGAGGTCTTGTGATGAGGAATTAATGGATTGTCTGTGATGTCAGAGAGAAAGAAAAATGGCTTGAGAGCAACAGGATTCTGCCTAATGATGTGAAAGCAGTCATTTTCATCATTCTTCTTTTTTAATGTCCTAACTCTCCATGGCCACCACTACAAACACATTAAGCCATTATGGACTCTTAGGAAAGGTTTCCTCATGGGTCTGCACATTTATGAAAAAAAAACACAAGTACTTCTAACATTGTGGTTTAGACTACAGAGTGATTTGTGAGATTACTAATTCAGGAGTGGTACTGCTTGTGCATTTGACCATTTGTGAGGATTTGCCATTAATGGGAAGACATTAAGCAGCAGTGGCCTGTTATTGACAGAAATAAGATGAGATTAGTGACTGACAGTACATACACCCAGAGAGACAGATCTTGGGCAGGAGAGAATCTCCTTAGAGAGGAGATTCAAGCTCAGTAGCTCAGTATATTTCTGTTCTGTATGCTAACAACGTATCTTTTTAAGGGACATTTAGGCTAACCTTTTAGGCTCCCCTTATTCAATACACACCTGACCAAAAGGGCCTGATCCATGCAAACATTCACAAAAATCTGTTTTCACGAACCCAACATCATCTTTTATGTATATCTGATCTTGCCTATGTCTTTCAGCGATCTTTAAGACAGATGTCTGCCTATTCTCCACTCCCTCTTAACAGCAGGTGGTCATAGTTCTGTTTTGGGACCTAAATTATTTATATTATACATTAACGATATATGTAAAGTTTCTGATTTAGTGAAAGTGGTTTTGTTTGCTGATGACACTACCATATTGGCATCGGGTGAAAACCTACAGCAACTCTCTGGACGGGTTACACAGGAACTTGAGAAGATAAAGAAATGGTGTGACAGTAATATACTATCTCTGAATTTGGATAAAACTAAATTTATGGTATTTGGGAATCGCAGATTAGACAATGAACTTCAATTGAAAATTGGGGGAGCTAATATAGAACGAGTACATGAAATTAAATTTCTAGGTGTCATAGTTGATGACAAATTCTCCTGGAAATCTCATATCAGATATGTTCAGAACAAAATAGCAAAAAATATATCGATATTGGCAAGGGTTAGATATATTTTGGA